ATATTGTTTCTTTCTATATTTTGAACAGTTTAACTTTTAAACACTTGGTTTAAATACACAACGGGATTAGATTAGATTAGATTAGATTAGATTAGATTAGATTAGATTAGATTAGATTAGATTAGATTAGATTAGATTAGATTAGATTAGATTAGATTAGATTTGCTTTCATTCATCGCTGCCGTCTTACTGACCTTATCCACTCATTTCCTGACTATGACAATCATGGTACAGAAATACAGCCACATGGACATGCTATGCAAGTGCTGCTGAGACTTGATGGCCCTCTTGCGTCGTGTGATGTCTTTTTTACCCCACTAGATGGCAACATTGCACCTGATACGTGTGCTTTTCATAGGTCTTGACCTGAAATGAAACGAGACTGGGGATTGCTAGAGATATGTTGCCTAAAGGACTGAAAAATGTACAGCACTCATTTCTCATCACAGCAGTTTATTAAATTTCTAGTCAATATTTGCTGACGCTATAAAAGCACTTTAGGAACAACACTTATACTTGTTTTTATCCTTTCATATTTTATGCTGATATTAAAATGGATCGAGTCTGCTGGTGGCTTGACACGTTTTAAAAGGCAAACACCTATATTTGTCCACTTTATGTGGACTGGCGAGCATATTGTAAGACATACGCTCCGCTCTCATAAGCATATGCCCTGATTTTACAACTAGTGATTTTTACGAGTCTTCCGTTCAATCAGGCCATTATTATCATCAGCCCAACCTTTTTGATTTACAGGAACATCTGGCTGTACAAGAGACGGACTGCAGCGCCTACAACTCCTTTCTCATCAGTTACTTCAAAACGTCTAATAGAGATATCACGCAGGGAATTTTAATAGCCTTCCCATATGTGGACACTTGAACATGAGTCCTCGTCAAGTGTCCTATACACACACACATATGCAGACGCACCTTTACATCGTTTAAATGGCGTGCGCATTCCTGTTTGCGATTAATGACCTGAGATATTTCGCAAACCTTACGTCCGGGTGCCAAGGAGTTAGTGAATCGCGGTATTAGCGTGGCTGGGAGATCGGGGCCCAGACTGTTTTTGGATACTGGGACAGTGATATTTGGGGTAACCGTGTGCGTTGGTGTTTGGGGATATAAATATACGCCACCCCGCAGGCCTCCAGTGTTCGCGCGGGCCTGCATGCCGATCAAGGCAGACAGATCACTTTGAGGGAGC